CCACAAGGGAGCTAGGGCCCACAAGGGAGCTAGGGGCCCACAAGGAGCTAGGGGCCCACAAGGGAGCTAGGGGCCCACAAGGGAGCTAGGGCCCACAAGGGAGCTAGGGGCCCACAAGGGAGCTAGGGGCCCACAGGGAGCAGGGCCCCTACAAGGGAGCTAGGGGCCCACAAGGAGATAGGGCCCACAAGGGAGCTAGGGCCCACAAGGGAGCTAGGGGCCACAAGGGAGCTATGGGCCCACAAGGAGCTAGGAGCCCACAAGGGAGCTAGGGACCCACAAGGGAGCTAGGGGCCCACAAGGGAGCTAGGGGCCCACAAGGGAGCTAGGGGCCCACAAGGGAGCTAGGGGCCCACAAGGGAGCTAGGGGCCCACAAGGGAGCTAGGGACCCACAAGGGACTAGGGGCCCACAAGGAGCTAGGGGCCCACAGGAGCTAGGGGCCCACAAGGGAGCTATGGGCCCACAAGGGAGCTAGGAGCCCACAAGGGAGCTAGGGACCCACAAGGGAGCTAGGGGCCCACAAGGGAGCTAGGGGCCCACAATGGAGCTAGGGGTCCACAAGGGAGCTATGGGCCCACAAGGAAGCTAGGGGCCCACAAGGGAGCTAGGGGCCCACAAGGGAGCTAGGGGCCCACAAGGAAGCTTTGGGCCCACAAGGGAGCTAGGGGCCCACAAGGGAGCTATGGGCCCACAAGGGAGCTAGGGGCCCACAAGGGAGCTATGGCCCCACAAGGGAGCTAGGGGCCCACAAGGGAGCTAGGAGCCCACAGAGGGTAAGAGCAAGAACACAGAGGGGGGGAATAATATAGGACAAATACCCAAGGCAGAAGAAAGAAGACCCAAAGGAGAAAGAGAAAGGAGGAAATTGAAAGATGGAGAAGAGGAAAGAAGAATCAGGTTGAGTCACGGATGTTCTGACGTTTGGGAGAGGAAGGCATCAACAGCGACGAAGTCAGGACTAAGATTCATACAAGGAAAGTTGTGTATAAGGGAGCATTCAACCAGACGGCGACTGTGAAAGTTAGACGTAGGGTAGACAGTTTTAGCAGAAGACCAGTCAATAGGATGACTGTGATCTCTGACGTGACAGAAAAGAGCATTGTTAGGGTCGGTGAGTCTAACATTACTTTTGTGCTCCCTGAGTCTGTCAGAAAGAGACGGGCCAGTTTCTCCAAAGTACTGGAGAGGACAGGAGGAGCAGCAGATAGAGTAGACACCAGGAACATGTACAGAGGGAGGAGAGGTATGAACTAGATCCGTACGAAGAGTGTTAGTCTGGCGAAAAGTAAGTTTAATGTCTAAGGAATGGAGAGAGTTGTTGAGATTAGAAAGACCGGAAATGTAGGGAAGGCAGAGGACAGGAGAGTTCCCAGGAGTAGAGAGTTTGGGAGAGAAGAAATTACGTTTAGCACGTGAGAGGAAGAGTCTATGAAATGGGAAAGGTAGCCAAGACGGGAAAGTTAATTAATAAGAGTGCAAATTTCTGATTCAAGAAACTGAGGTTCACAGAAAAGGGAAAACCTGTATCTGAGCGGTGGACATCAAGTAAAGGAAGCAAGGAATTACATTCCCATTCAGCTTTAAACTTAATGGAAGGGCCAAGATTATTAAGAGCTTCAAGAAATGGTTGGAAGAGACTAGAGTCGTCAGGCTAGAAAGCAAAGATGTCTTCAACCCACTGGACACTGCTTTCCCTGACCATGCCCGTTTCCTACTTCAACAGCTCATTCTTTCTACAAAGTCTCAGGTTGAAGATGACGTCTTTACTCTCCGTCAGCATCAACGTGCTCTCTTCGCTTCTCTTCCACAAGATCTCTGTAACCTTCTCTCTACCATTGCCTTTGACACTGCTCGCCTGAACTCACAAATTCATTCTTCTAAGCTGCAGAATAAACTTCAACGTCTCATGTCAGATAGCCCTCGGTCTAAATTCTCCCTTACCGACTATGTTAGTAATCTGACTTCTGTCACACTCTCTCACCATAAGCTCGAATTTCTTGGTTTTGGTCTTTCCTTTGCCACTTCGCCTGCCCCTCGCGCTGGTATTGACCTGATTAACTCTATTGATTTTTGTCGTTAGTCTTGCTCTGGTAATCTTCCTGACTTGTCCACTTTTCGTGACGCTCTCCTGCTGTTGATAGACTGTTTCGTGACGCTCTCCTGCTGTTGATAGTCTGTTTCGTGACGCTCTCCTGCTGTTGATAGATTGTTTCGTGACGCTCTCCTGCTGTTGATAGACTGTTTCGTGACGCTCTCCTGCTGTTGATAGACTGTTTCGTGACGCTCTCCTGCTGTTGATAGTCTGTTTCGTGACGCTCTCCTGCTGTTGATAGATTGTTTCGTGACGCTCTCCTGCTGTTGATAGACTGTTTCGTGACGCTCTCCTGCTGTTGATAGACTGTTTCGTGACGCTCTCCTGCTGTTGATAGTCTGTTTCGTGACGCTCTCCTGCTGTTGATAGTCTGTTTCGTGACGCTCTCCTGCTGTTGATAGTCTGTTTCGTGACGCTCTCCTGCTGTTGATAGACTGTTTCGTGACGCTCTCCTGCTGTTGATAGTCTGTTTCGTGACGCTCTCCTGCTGTTGATAGACTGTTTCGTGACGCTCTCCTGCTGTTGATAGTCTGTTTCGTGACGCTCTCCTGCTGTTGATAGACTGTTTCGTGACGCTCTCCTGCTGTTGATAGTCTGTTTCGTGACGCTCTCCTGCTGTTGATAGTCTGTTTCGTGACGCTCTCCTGCTGTTGATAGACTGTTTCGTGACGCTCCTCCTGCTGTTGATAGTCTGTTTCGTGACGCTCTCCTGCTGTTGATAGACTGTTTCGTGACGCTCTCCTGCTGTTGATAGTCTGTTTCGTGACGCTCTCCTGCTGTTGATAGTCTGTTTCGTGACGCTCTCCTGCTGTTGATAGACTGTTTCGTGACGCTCTCCTGCTGTTGATAGTCTGTTTCGTGACGCTCTCCTGCTGTTGATAGACTGTTTCGTGACGCTCTCCTGCTGTTGATAGTCTGTTTCGTGACGCTCTCCTGCTGTTGATAGACTGTTTCGTGACGCTCTCCTGCTGTTGATAGTCTGTTTCGTGACGCTCTCCTGCTGTTGATAGACTGTTTCGTGACGCTCTCCTGCTGTTGATAGTCTGTTTCGTGACGCTCTCCTGCTGTTGATAGTCTGTTTCGTGACGCTCTCCTGCTGTTGATAGACTGTTTCGTGACGCTCTCCTGCTGTTGATAGTCTGTTTCGTGACGCTCTCCTGCTGTTGATAGACTGTTTCGTGACGCTCTCCTGCTGTTGATAGTCTGTTTCGTGACGCTCTCCTGCTGTTGATAGACTGTTTCGTGACGCTCTCCTGCTGTTGATAGTCTGTTTCGTGACGCTCTCCTGCTGTTGATAGACTGTTTCGTGACGCTCTCCTGCTGTTGATAGTCTGTTTCGTGACGCTCTCCTGCTGTTGATAGTCTGTTTCGTGACGCTCTCCTGCTGTTGATAGTCTGTTTCGTGACGCTCTCCTGCTGTTGATAGTCTGTTTCGTGACGCTCTCCTGCTGTTGATAGACTGTTTCGTGACGCTCTCCTGCTGTTGATAGTCTGTTTCGTGACGCTCTCCTGCTGTTGATAGACTGTTTCGTGACGCTCTCCTGCTGTTGATAGTCTGTTTCGTGACGCTCTCCTGCTGTTGATAGACTGTTTCGTGACGCTCTCCTGCTGTTGATAGTCTGTTTCGTGACGCTCTCCTGCTGTTGATAGACTGTTTCGTGACGCTCTCCTGCTGTTGATAGTCTGTTTCGTGACGCTCTCCTGCTGTTGATAGTCTGTTTCGTGACGCTCTCCTGCTGTTGATAGACTGTTTCGTGACGCTCTCCTGCTGTTGATAGTCTGTTTCGTGACGCTCTCCTGCTGTTGATAGTCTGTTTCGTGACGCTCTCCTGCTGTTGATAGACTGTTTCGTGACGCTCTCCTGCTGTTGATAGTCTGTTTCGTGACGCTCTCCTGCTGTTGATAGACTGTTTCGTGACGCTCTCCTGCTGTTGATAGACTGTTTCGTGACGCTCTCCTGCTGTTGATAGTCTGTTTCGTGACGCTCTCCTGCTGTTGATAGACTGTTTCGTGACGCTCTCCTGCTGTTGATAGTCTGTTTCGTGACGCTCTCCTGCTGTTGATAGTCTGTTTCGTGACGCTCTCCTGCTGTTGATAGTCTGTTTCGTGACGCTCTCCTGCTGTTGATAGACTGTTTCGTGACGCTCTCCTGCTGTTGATAGACTGTTTCGTGACGCTCTCCTGCTGTTGATAGTCTGTTTCGTGACGCTCTCCTGCTGTTGATAGTCTGTTTCGTGACGCTCTCCTGCTGTTGATAGACTGTTTCGTGACGCTCTCCTGCTGTTGATAGACTGTTTCGTGACGCTCTCCTGCTGTTGATAGTCTGTTTTCGTGACGCTCTCCTGCTGTTGATAGTCTGTTTCGTGACGCTCTCCTGCTGTTGATAGACTGTTTCGTGACGCTCTCCTGCTGTTGATAGACTGTTTCGTGACGCTCTCCTGCTGTTGATAGTCTGTTTCGTGACGCTCTCCTGCTGTTGATAGACTGTTTCGTGACGCTCTCCTGCTGTTGATAGACTGTTTCGTGACGCTCTCCTGCTGTTGATAGTCTGTTTTGTAAGAATCACCACCTTCCTCGCCACTATCAACTTGCCCATTCTTCTCTTACATCTAACACTAACATCGTCATACTATCGCCTGAGAATGGGCCAGTAAGCCTACTGCAGTGTTGTTGCAGTAGTGTGTTCTTGTGTTCTTCACGTGTCGTGTTCACCGTCACTGCATCACACATCTCTACAGTGTATGTGTTGCCTCACAATCATTACACAACATAATCACTTCAGCTGAAGAAATAAGTTGAGTTTTTAAACTGTTAAACATCGGCCTTAAATTATACATTTTCACCTGGTTGATAAATTAAGATGATATATTCCACCAGTGAGAACTTAACACTGTCTCCCTCCACAG